CCCAGATTAGAGAGGCTGAGAATATGATCAACAGGAATGAGGATTGGCGAGATTATGAGGAAATTCTTAGGGAAACTTTGATTGGATTTAGGAAGCATGTGGGAGTTGAGAGCAAGAATAGAGTAGAAGATAAAATTGAAATGGACACAGGAAGAAGAGCAGCTTTGAGGAGGCTAATGCATTCCATTTACTACGTTGAGGTACCTATGAGGAATTCTCATGAAGCTGACTTGCAGGTGTTGTGCAGGTGGTTGAAAGAACAATTTGGTGGTCTGGAAGTCATTGGCATTTAGATGATATATATAGTCTTAAGTTTTTATTGTGAATTGAGTGATAGTTTATATGGGAGAACAATGGTTTTATGCTTAATCGTTTCATTGCAGTGATTACAAAATCAATTGTTAAAATTGAAATAATCAAAGGAAGAGTGTATGAGAAGATGCTTAAATAGCAATCTAGGGACACAGACCTCAGAAGCTAGCAAATCAATCCCTGAAATAGCCTGAAAAGGCACTGAAAGAGTTATGTCCAGAATTCCAAGGATAAAGATGATGTGACTGGTTATTAGTTTCCACTCCACAGCAAGTTTATGTGGAGAAGATGAAACTTAAATTTGTAGTATTCAGCATTTTGATAAGAATTAGCTATAATGGAGAGCCCTCTAGTGGAAGGGAGTTTGGCACCTGAGGAGCCAAAATGTAAATGAGGCTCAGAGAGTAATTTACATGAAGTTGGCATGAAGGAGTTCCAATTTTGTGAATAAAATACAATTACTTTCCTATTAATCATGGGTTTGATCTCTCATTGTATGAAGACTATATGTTAATTGCTCTTGCTTTGCCCTGTGAAAGGTAGAAAAGAGTAACAACAGTAGAGAATAACACTTTTCAGCAGTGAGAGTTGGGAAGAGGGAAGATAAGGAAATTTTCTCCCAAGGAGAGAGGTACCAAAGCTGAGAATGGGGGAAAAACTGCAGAGGCACTTTTTTTTTTCTTTCTTTTTTAACTCAGCTGAGGGTCCAAAGACATGTATCACCTCCAGAAGGAATCTGTCTGCAAGACAGACTTCACTAAGAAAAATCATTGAAGATATACTATTGTACGTAGTGCTTTTTTATAGTTCCTCTTCTGGAAAAAATTGCTTGCTTCATGATTTTGTTTACAACATTTATTGTATGGAAACTGATGCAAGATTCATACTGAAGAAGCTCTTATAATTTCTTATGTTTTCATACAAAAAGACTAGACAGGAGAATGTTTTTTGTCATCTTCCTCTGTTTTATGAAATTAATGGAGCATAAACTTGTCAAACAGTTAACATTGCATAACTTTGCAAATTGGAAGAGGATAGTAGAAATTAACTTATTTTGTACTTCTGTTTAACTTACTATAATGACACATTTTTAATAAAACAATATTATTTAGTGAAAGTAAAATTAAAATACATTAATACATACATACATTTGTAGAAAGTTTATAAGTAAAGAAGTATACAATGTAGGGAGGAAACGTCTGCCACTAAAAATTCTTTATCTTGGTTGTATGTAAGATTTTGTTACATACTATATAGTAAAATGGATAGTATATTAGAAAAATAGTCATAAAATATATACTTTACATTTTTCTTGCATATCTTTCCATATTAATACTTATCCACTTAATCTATTTTTTAAACTGTATAGTATTTTTCAACTCTTTTCATAAACATTTTTAAAATTGAAGTAAAACATATACTCAGAGAAGTGCCCCATTTAATACATTTTTACAAAGTAAGCCTGCCCATATAACCAGATTAAGATAAAGAACAATGCTGATCACCCCATAAGCCACCTTCACACTAGCTTTCAGTCATCTATATTCTCCTCCATCTATGTTGTTGTTGTTTGGTGCCCTTCAGTTGACACACACACACAAAAAAAACTCCGCAAATCTACCCTGTCCTTCACCATCCTCACAACTGTAGTTTTTATTGAGTCCCTAGTTGCTGTCCCTGTGTCAGTCTATCTCATTGGGGGGTCTTAGTATTTTCTGCTGACCCTCCACTTAACCAAGCATGATGTCTTTCTCCAGAGACTGGTTCCTCCTGACGACATGTTCAAAGTATGTGAGACCAAGTCACTCCACCCTTGCTTCAAAGGAGCATTCTGGTTGTTCTTCCCAGACAGATTTGTTTGTTTCTCTACAAGTCCATGATACTTCTAGTATTTTTTTCCAGTGCCACAATTCCAATGTATCCATTCTTTCGTCTTCCTTACTCATTTTCCAGCTTCCACATGCATATGAGGCAATTGGAAATAGTTTGGTTTGAATCAGAGGTACCTTAGTCCTCAAAGTGACATCTTTGGCGCTTTAAAGAGATCTTTTGCATCACATTTGTCAAATGCAATAGGTAATAATGATTTGCATATGTGGAATTAGTTGTGGCTCTTTTTGAAGTTTATATAAAAATTGAGTCATAAGGCTCTACACATTTATGTCTTTCTTCTTTCAATCAGCATTATATCTTGTCAGATTCATCCAAGCAGTTGCATGTAGTAGTAGTAGTTTGTCTTTTTCCATTTGTTATATTTTCTATTGTAAAATGCATTATTATCACAGTTTATAGATTCTACGACTGATGGACATTTGAGTTCTTGGAATTGGGGCTATTATGAATAATGTTGGTGTGAGCTTTTCTGCACATGCTATTTGAATGCATTTCTATTGAGTATGTACACATTTCTGTTGTTTATAGACTTAGAAGTAAGTTTGCTGGGTTGAAGGCTTTATATAGGTTGTAAATAATCCAAAGTGGTCCTGAATCTCAGAAAGCAACGTCTGCCTTCCGTCAGCATATCAGATTTCCAGATAACTCCCTGTCCTTGTCAATACTTGGCATCAGTGTGTTTTTTGTAAATGATAATATAAAAAATCTGCCCAGTATTTTATCGTGTGAATAGATTATTATTTAACCAATGACCATTTAGTTTTTTCTTTCTTTTGCTTCTGTAATAAAGCCAGAGTCTGGACAGCTCTGATGTGTGATGGGCTCCTTAACTTGTTCTGTGTCTGATTTGGCTGTGTGAGAACATTTTAATGTTGAAATTAGCAGAGTCAATATAAATATATTTTTAAAACAGATATTCCTCAAACGCCTCCTGTTTTTGAATAATACGGTAACAATATGAAGAATCTATTGAATTGTTTTATTTTGTTGACATGAAAATTGATTTTGATTGCTTGTGGTAAATTGTTTTCTTCACTCTTGTTTAAAACTAACTTAAAAAATAGTATAATGTCTAAAACTAGACTTTTGGTGAAAGCATTGCTAAAAACAGGTGATTCAGTTCTCCAGAACTATGTGCATTCTCTTCAAACAAGCACTTAGTCTTAGCAAGTAGCACCTGCAAACACAGAAATCTTCAGTCCATTGGAAAACTGCTGTGTGAATTACTTGAGACTGTAATCATTTAGGTTTTGGAAAATTATTTGAATTTTACTCTTTGAAAGAGAGAGAGATAATTCTAGTTAGAGAACTCTGCTTCCAATTCAAACCTTACTTTTAAAACACTCTCCTCCCCCATTTCCTCATTTTCTTTTAACATAAGTTTTTTTAAAGAGTGTGAAAATTGAAGGGCTTGCTTTTTAAGTGTGATACCAGATTCCTGTATCTGCTTATGTTAGGGGATGTGATTGGTTACGATAGCCACTCTTCCTGTTGTGTTTAGCGTTAAACAGGTGTTGGTGTTGGCACAGGTGGTTTCGGTGCTAGTCAGTCACCATGAGTAATTTCATGGGAGGTTTTAGATATCATTAACCCACCTAGTTTGGCGCTGTGGACTAATGTGTCAGACTGCAAAGTCATTTGAACTGCAAGGTCAGTGGCTCAAGCTCACCAGCTGCTCCTTGGAAACCCTATACAGGTTTGCTATGGATCCGAATCTACTCGACTGCACTCAACAACAACAACAACTAATAGCTGAATGGTCTCTTTTAAAGTTCCTCATGGACTTACAAAACAATTTTGACTTTCCTGTTATTCTTTGCTTTTGTCAGTTGTATGTTCAGTCATTCATTTTTGAAATAGCTGTAATGACCAGAATGAGCATGTAATTTTCATACTAGTAAGTGTAAACATGGTTTTTTAACTTTCAGATGTGAAGGTTCTCTCTGCATTGCTTGTTAATTGCTGTTTAGTGACAGTAGAAAGCCATTGCTTTATATTATATTCTATTTCTATTTCTGTTCTTTTTTTGTGTGGAAAACGATCTTTAGATGTTGAGATTTTGTGTTAATCTATCACAAAATAGCTCTGAAAATCTGTCAATTCTTGGTTTTCTGTACTAATGATAATGCATCTAAAAGTGCCTAAATGATTAACAAGCATGCTGAAAACCATATTAAAGATGGGATTTTCACTGACCTCTTCATTCCCAATCCCTACATCTTTTTATCATTATCAATAATGAGTAGCAAACCATGCTGAGTTGGTTTTTTTGCTTCTCAGTTGCTGATAAAAGTTCTAATATTCTAAAAGGGAGTGTGTGGTTTAAAGGAACACACATATCATCAACTTCCAACAAGTAACTGTTATTTCTCTTATATTTCATATTCATGGGCTTGGTTTGGAGATTAATTTTAGAGACCACTGTCAAGTCTTAATTTAAAAAATGCTTTAACCTCTCATTATTTTGGGGTATATCAAGCCACTGCAGTCCGTCTTTACAAAGAAGCCCAATATTAGTTGATTCAACTTGCAACTTCTTCTCTAATGCAACAGAGAATAAAGCACCCAGTACCTAGACCCAGGAGTCCTGGTGTGGTGCTATGGGTTAATGCACCAGACTGCAAAGGCGTTTGAAATGCAAGGCTGGCAGTTCAAGCTCACCAGTCACTCCTTGGAATCCCTATATAGGGTTGCTATGGGTCAGAACCGACTTGACGGCACTTAACAACAACAACATGTAGACCTAACTCCTTTTCACTTAAGTACATCTAAAAGTTATTTCTCTTCCTACACAGGTATCAGTCAAAGCCGGATCTCTCACTGGCTATTGCAGCAGGGATCAGACCTAAGCGAACAGAAGAAGAGGGCATTTTATCGATGGTATCAACTTGAAAAGACAAATCCTGGTAACTACTATTTTTTTTTTTTCAATTTAATTATTTTATTGAATCCTTGTGTTGACTTAGCATCAATAACATAGTTTCATACACTTTACTGTTGTTCTTTTATGCGTTCTTCACTAAAGTCTAAGCTTACCAGCTGCTCTGTGGAAACCCTTTCAGCGTTATTATGAGTCAGAACAACAAGAAGAAGCCCTGATTGTATATTCTTTGGTGCCTGACATTGTCTAGTTATTCTTCCTCTTCCTTCCAGGATGCTCTTTGCTTCCAGATTATGTGATATTCCTAACTGTGATAGTTAGCAGTTCATCTTTTCTACAATTCTAGGTTTACACCTAATATTCCCTGTTCTTTTTTGTAATTCTTGCTATAAACAGTAATATGGATTTAATATTTATATTTAATAAAATTTTCAGAACTGACTCAACACTTTACAACAACAGCATATTAGCTTTATCTTTATAAAATAAATGAATAAATTTTTAAATAAGATAATAGGTATAGATAATTGTGGGTTTTTTTGCAGTTAATTCAAAGCTTATGGCCCTCACTTGCTTCAGTGCTTATCTCTAAAGAATAAGGGTTGTTTTGTTATTAAATACCTTCAAGTCAGTTCTGACTCAGCCACCCTGTATAGGATTTCCAAAGAGCAGCTGGTGAATTTGAACCACCGACCTTACAGTTCAAACCACCCTTGCAGTCCAGGTCCAATGCAATATCCCACAGCACCACCCCAGGATTCCAAACAATAAGGGTTGTTGTTCTTAGGTGCCATCGAGTCAGTACCGACTCATAGCGACCCTATGCACAACAGATGAAACACTGCCTGGCCTTGGGCCGACCTCACAATTGCTGCCACACTTGAACCCATTGATGCTGCCACTTCACCAATCCGTTTCACTGGGGGTTTTCCTCTTTTTCTCTGACCGTCCACCTTACCACACATGATAGTCTTCTCCAGCAACTGGTCCCTCCTAACAATATGTCTGAAGTATGAGACATGAAGTTTGGCCATCTTGGCCTCCAAGGAGCACTCTGGCTGCACTTCTTCCAACACAGATCTGTTGGCTCTTTTGGCAGCCCATGACACTTTCAATATTCTCCTCCAACACCATAACTCAATGACAGTCTTCTTTATTAACTCTCTAGCTTTCACATGCATATGAGGTTATTGAAAATATCATGGCTTGGGTCAGGCATACCTTAGTCTTCAAGCTGACATCTTTGCTCTTCAACACTTTCAAAAGGTCTTGTGTAACTGATTTACCTATGCAATACGTCATTTGATTTCCTGACGGCTGCTTCTGTGAGTGTTGATAGTTGATCCAAGAAGAATGAAGTCCTTGACAACTTCAATCTTTTCTTCATTGATAAGAATGTTGTTTATTAGTCCAGTGGTGAGG